CTTTATAAAGGAAAGCCTTTTCCAACACAAACGGCCCTTCTATTGAACTAGAATATACTTCTAGCAAAAAAATAACAATCAAGAAAACGGAGCAGGAAGATCTCTTCATCACAGCTGAATCCAAGTGACATAACTGGGAAGAAACAAAGCTGTCATATGTAAGACTCTTTAGAGAACAGTTTTTCCCAGTAACTAATTAGAAACTGTGAACATAATGAAATAGGCTGTGATTCCTCCCCCTCCTCCAGACTTTTCACAAAATTTTTTTTCTTGGAAAACCATGAGAAAAGCTGCTACTTTTACACATGATCCATTTTTACAGCGGGTTTTAGTTCTGAACTCACACAAGCACTGACATGAAGAACTACATTTAACAACTGCCTACATGCTATTAGAATCTACATACAGGTAACTGCTCTGTATGCTCAGGTTTCAGTAGCTAATTCTGTAATTATCTTGATATGTATCATGAACAAAAATCTGAGACAGCCCAGAAGCTGAGATCTAATGCTTTAATCCTCAATAATTATTTTGCCTGCCTTTCACCTGTATTCAAGCCCATGCTCTAGTTCTGAATCAGTAAATTTCAGGGAATTGCCTCATTCACAGGCCGTGTTATCACAATTTTACGACCCATGAAGTCTCAGGCCCTATTTATTCTATAGCATTTCTGCCATGGCCCAAGGGGTTTCCTCTCCTCTGAATAAAGAGGACCCATTTCTGTGATCTGTTCCTGATGCAACAGATCAAAGATGGGAACATGCAAATATTCACTGCTTACCCCAGTCAACAGGAACAAAATCAGAAGCATTGAAAAAAGCTGGTTTTCCTCTGATAGAGTTCACTTGACTTCCTAGTTGAGTAACTTCTGTCCAGAAGTACAGGTCAATGCTTTCTCGGGAAGAAGCTGCTTGTATTGAATGGTATCTACCAGTACATTGCTCCTACAAGAGCAGAAATCTCTTCCTGCACTCAAAACACTAACATGGAAGGAAAGAAGCAGCTTGCACACACACAGATATAAACGGCTGAAGTACTACTGTGAAATGTGAAGGCTACCACTCATTTGGAAGTGCCATAATCAACCTGACACATCCCACTTCCTCCACAAACACCACTGTAAGCAAAGAGCAAGGAGAATTCCTTTCTTTGGATTGCCTTCTAAAACTGCTTTCACCTATCTAACCAGTTGATAACTTCATTGCTTTTCTTCTCAACATCGAGATGTTGAGAACCATATCGACTCTCCCAGAGCAGGACTCCAGCCTAGCACTTGCCTTCCTTTCTTTAGATCATGGAAAGAGGAGTAATTGCAAACTCTTGTAACTGGAAACCAAGTGATCTATCTACCAAGCAGACACAACAGCACACTGTTAATAGCTTTTCTTTTTTGTCAGATTCAAAAACAAGCCTGTTTTGGGCACTAAGCTGCCAATATCCTAGAAGAGAAGAGCAGCAGTTACCTGCACACACTCTCTGCCACTGAATTTTACCTACTGCAAGTACCAGAAGTAGAATGTTTCAGGAGCTGTTCCTCATTTTCACCACTGAAGACAGTTACAATTTGCAGTAACTGCCATTCTTCTAGACATAAGAACAATCAGGCAGGATGCTTCCAGGGCACTGAGATTACAGGCCAGGAAGCCCAGGTCTAACCTACTAGAAAAGGCAGCGGCTGCATAAGGAGAGAAAACGCATACTTCTGAATTTTACTGCTTAAAGTCATCTCAGGCAGGACTCTAGCAGGAACAAAGACAACATTCTCCACCATCCCTTCCCTAGTGACAAGGGGCTATTACCTGCATCTTTGCCCCACCACCACCACTTCTGAAACTGCTTGTAAATATGATGCTGTATCTTTGCTTGTTACATTCAGTTAAGTAGTTCTGCACACAGCAACTTCTCCCAAGCCATTTAATACAGCAGTCTTATCAGCAAGAGCCAGCTTTGGCTTTGTAAGGAAAATAATCAGGTTATATTCACTTAGTTCAAATGTATCCACTTTAAATTAAAGAGCATTGACTTGATAAATAATGTGTGTCAGTGTGTTTCACAAACACAACTGTGTTTATGGAAGTATTATATAATTTTTTTATGTATTCACTTTATCTGCTCAGAAGTGCTCTAGATAGCAGAGGGTTTTTTTTTTTAAAACCATTTCCTCTATCAAAAAAAAAATTTGAACCAAATTGGTGTTTCTGCATGCAAAATTTGTCCAAGTGAAGTTCATTTAGGCAATATTTCTTCTGTAAATAATGAATTCACACCTTAATCACTCCACATTCTACAATAAATAAGTGCTCCTACCACAGATACCATTATACCAGGAGCTCATTTTGCACCTTCCTGCCTTCAACCACATAGCACAGGGATTGGGGCAGACTCAACCAGTGGGAGTTTGAGCAAGATCAGACACTAAGGAAGAGATCCGTGCTGCCCTGCTTTTCTGACATTTTTCCTCCCCCGTCTTTTGAAGTGGAGCAGGAACTTTTTCTTAAACCAAATGAATCTGAAATGTACTTACAGTCCTTCCTGAACACAACTTCAAATGGAAGTGCCAGCTTCCAGGCTCTGATAGAATGACAAGATACTACAAACAAAAACCCCTTCGTACAAAAAGACATAGCAACAAATTTCAAGAGCAAGAGCAGATGCTATTCTTGTCCTCTGAGTCCAGATCACAAGCTCATTAAACCGATTCTGTGGTTTGTTTTTTAAAACAGAGGCAAGGCATGCTGCTTCTCGCTGAAGTGGCAGCTGCAGCATCTCTTTAAAAAACAGCCCAGGATTTCATTTCTCTGTATAGACCACAATTTCATGGACTTTAATTTCCTAAGCATACCTGCTCAAAACCTTATTTCCCCCC